TATATATATATATATATATATATATATATATATATAATGAAGTGGCAGATCATTCGACCGGACGTTTGAAAAGGCCATTCAAACTATATAACTAACGTTCTACAAGCTCACTGCAGGAATCATACCAGGAAGTCCTCAATAATGTCATGATGAAATACCTCTTCGGGATGACATTTCGATATCCTAACAAGGTATTCCAACGAAGGATTGTATTTTAAAAAGACTACAAAAAACATGGATGCGAGCACAAGATGAAATTTCAGGCTAAGTCGGTTCGGCCTTCCTCAATTCTAGTCCGCTGAAACTTTCAGTAACACCGTTTCCGTGCGATTGACAAATCGATTTTTTGAGAACAGAAATCAATTTAGAAGGCAAGATACTGTTACAGAGGGACTTGAGGAAATATCCGTTAAATCTTTCGTTTATGATAGCCTTAAACCGGATAAAAGCTGGCTCCTGTTTGGGGTGGAGCAACTCCTAATTTGTCGAATTATTTTCTTGGATATTTGGAGTATTCTGTTTGAGAGGTAAATCGAAGATTTTTTCCACCACGTTATCAAACTGTCAGTTTGAAGTTGAGTGTCTATCTGCACATGCGTTGAACTGATGTTCAGGTAAGTAATGACGTCGTTGGAAATTCGGGTGACAAGCCTACCTAAGGAATTCCCAAAGTAGGCAAAAATCTCATTAGTCTGCGTTGGAGTTTCCATAGATCTCTTGGATAATTTCAGGTTCTTCACATCCAAACCGTTTGAATCCGTCAACCTGCTAAAATTGCAAAGGCTAGTTTTTTTATAATCCCACTATAGGTCCTTAACCAAACATGTGCTCACGGAGTCGAGATAACCAAAGTAGTCATCATATATCTTTATGTGCTGAATCCATCTTGACCGTTAACCAGAGGAAGCCTTCTGCCGAGCATGCTCAACTCATCTGCATATTGGTTTCTTGACAGTAAGGGAGATTGAACTAGGGTGATCGGACGATGGATGTGCACCATCTGTCTTTTTAAAAATACCACTATTTTTCGAATTGATTCTTAGAATCAAACATCCAGTGTCGAGCTGGAGAAACTTCGCGCTGAGCATGCCAGATGTCAAGAACAGTTTGACAAGCAAACCAAGCGAATCAACACATTGTCTCAACAGATAGAAAGTCAGTCAGACGAAATTCTGGCCATAAAGTGAGTTTTTTTTAACGGGTAGAATGAACTCGTTTTGGTTTCCACACATTCATTAGTAGGATAGACAGATATGCCCGTTCATTAGCTTTTCGTAGGGCTTGTCATCCTTGTTGGTCTGAAAGTATCGATATTGCAATGTTCCCAAACGTCTTTGTTCTCATCATTGGGCACATACTTGATGGCCTTGTAGGCTTATCTATCTGGTCGATGATGTGTATCGTTTGTGCACTAAAAATTGCCTCCCAATCGTCATACTCAATTTCGCCATTGTCACCATCATTGTCATAATCATTTTTGATAGCAATGTCTCTGTTACTGCTCCACTGGCGTACAATCACGTCGATTTACTTGAGGAAGGCACTGCTGTACAATGAAAATATATAAATTAGGGAGGAAATAGGCCTGGTGCCAGCCTAACACAAACATTAATATATCCACGCATTCAAAATTTATTTAGACGAGCCGGAAATACAAATAAAGTAAGTTTGCCATCATAACTTGCGCGCATCTAGTCGAGCCCGAAAGGAATCTCATGGACTGTATCCTACACGGGGATCATGCTCATGTCATCCACACTTGTCCAACTTCCTTGAGACAAATCATCTGTTGGTCGTGTTATAGTTTGTTCCTGTGAATTTGACATCAAGGAATCCATTCCTCCCGGTCGAAGAGGGCTTTGTGATGCTGGATGCAGTCGTGAATTGAAGTACCGACTACCACCGAATACCCATTTGTCAATCACATCAGTGCACCAGCTTGTACCAGCGATGGTTCTGAGACATTGCCTCCAAAATATCTCAAAATTTCTCGACCCATCGATCGCAATGACCTCACAACCATTGAGCAACACAGCCCGAACTCTAGTCTTATAGCTCAAGACCTGGTCTGATAACCCGTCGGTGTGAGCCTGTCTCACTCGAATATGTGTTCCTTTCGGGTACAGTACTCACATCAACAGAGACTGCCGCGGTGTGTTCGGCTTTTCCTTTAGAGTAGAATTTCTCCAACAAATCACAATAGCGACTATGACCGTAACTATTTCGCAGAAGAGATTATTTTAATTGTCATTTCTAGCCAACTCTTGGGATAAATGAAGCAGAACCTAGAACTGTTAATGCTCGAATCCCGAATTGTTGATCAACCAAACGCAGTCACAGATATCCCACAGAATACGGAGCACCACGCACGCTAGTTTAACAAGGTCAAGCAAAAAGAACCCGGTTGATAAGAACTCCAGGAACATGGTTTGGTAAAATGCCATGCAGAAAAATGCTTCGCCTGGAGCAGCAAAGCAGCGAATAAACATACCAGCATGAATCGACAATCAGACATGAATAAGAGCTAGTCTCACCAGGAACTTGCTAGCCAACGCCATCAGCATATTGATTCAAGTGATGCGCAGCTGAAAGAGATCACCGCAATACGACAGTCAGACGAACAAAGAATTATGCAACCACTTCCAGCGAATAAACTTCCTGACAGCAAGAGATGCGTCACGAGTGCAAGTAGGGAACCATTTAAGTTCTCAGACCGATCTTATTCGCTCACTGTAACAAATAAGAAGTGTACCACCACGGTAGCTCAGTAAATGCCGTGAAGTCCGCGTACAAGTTACGCACTGCCCTTGGGAAATTGTCTGTATGATTCTATCTTCGTCACTACTAGGATGGGTAGAAACCTCGAAAAATGTTATACCTCAGCCGGTGTCGATTCCATTGGTAACTTCTTCCATATCAAGCAGAAGGCACCAGCTAAAGTGCCATTTCTTATCACCTATTGGTGAGAACTGTAAACAATACATTCACCGGTGTAAGAGTGAGGTGATCGTTGAAATACCTTCATGGACTTGAAATGCTCTATGGAATGTCCCGTTGTGCAGACTGCATGCTCCACCATATTAATGACGGCTATTCAAGTAACTGCATCTCTCTTGCGCTGCTGTGTGGCCATAAAATGCTATTGAGAAAGAGTAGTAACAGAGAGAGAGAGAGAGTATGGGAATGCTGTTCAAAAACATTCGGAGGCACTTCGTTCACGCAGCCAGAGATTTCAAGTCAGGTTTAGTAGAACAGCGCCGCTGAATACAATTTATGATCACATTCCAGTGTATCTTATCACCAGTTTGCACAAGTGACGCTTGTGGTTTTTATCCCCATCGATTGGCCAATCAACGCATGCAACTCAATGAAAACGACAGCCCTAGCCGTTGGCCTGAGTGCGCGTAGTTGACAACTGGCCTGATAGTAGTCCATGAACCATTGGTAGTTCATACCGAGTGAGTGAGGTGTACGCTTGGTGGAAAACTCGGATACATCACGGTGGCTCATACGAAACTGCGTCTCTATAGACCACCTTGTCTTTTGAGTTACCATATTCTTGTAGCGTCACGCTAGTTAGTCCATGCTTAGTTATGCCTTCTCTGATTGCTACTCTATAATGCACAGCTCACTTCGGTTGGGAGCATCCGCATTTCCTGCTATTCGTTTTTTCCGGCTCGTCCATACTCATTAAAAAACAAGCGGCAGAATCAAGAATTTCGCTATATTTTTGAACATTCACATTTAATCAGTTCTGATAAGAGCGGAACTCGGATGCAGAGATGGACTTGATCAACCAGCAGCCTGGCATCCCGTTAGGATTTCTAAGCTAAAAGTGATGCGATTTAGTTTGCTCCGAACCTCGCAAATAGCCTAAGGCTTTGGCAGAATTGTTTTCCTGGAACAGTTTGGATGGCTGACCGACGACCAGAAGAACTGGGTCCTCTTCGCCTAATCGTGCTGACTTACAGCTCTGCGCTGCACTGAATACTTGGTGGTTTTCGCTTGGTAGCTCCGGGTATTGTCTGTCTCCTAAAAGGTCTACGTTTCTCAAACACACAAGTACACTTCTGATGGTGGGCGCTCAACCCAATTTTTGCCTTGAATGAGTTCTCATGGAGATGAGACACTGATCCATCGCTGTATTCTGAGGTTGACCAACTAGAGATGTTCGGAAATCCGTTCTGAGTAAGAACACCAGGTACCAATCACAAGGTTAATACTATCGTTCATGCAAGGACATTTATTCGCTGTGTTCGAACTAATGTGCACCTTGCAGATTCAAAACGCTAAGCTGTGTCCAGTGAACTTTTGCAGACCAAACAACATCTCTAATGCGATCGCACCAGCCAGGTAATAATGTAGATCAGACATACCCGAGAGTCTACTGTGTAGCAGTTGCTGTCAACTCATTCCACCAGCTTCGTTTCGTGACTTAATACTCACGCTTTAGAGATCACGAATTGCTACATTTGTCGAGTTCTTATCTTACCGCGCTCCGTGTGTGAACGCTTATTCAAACGGCCTATTGATAAGACGCTGCAGTCAGGATAGGTCGGACGTGTGCACGATACATATAGCATGATGGGTGTGCATTGCAGAGATGGTTGGACATCGATTCCGTCGGATGCGTGAATTCTTGTTAGACCCAAAACGCATTCGAAGAAATATCAACATTCAGAAGGGGCTTTGTGGCTCTGTAGTGATACAATGAATGGAAATACAGAGAAACATAGAACTTTCAGATGGTGTTGAAAATGTGGTCGTCCCCTTGCCGATTGAAGTGAGATAATTCAGTGGTTAAGCGCGAAATTACTGACCGAAATACTTATGGTTCGAACCCAATCCCGGTATCCCGACTGCGCCTGTCTAGGTTTTGGCATCCTGGCAGTACTCCAGACATCGTGCTTTCGGGTTGCATGGCAGCTGGCTTCCAAAAGGGAGCTAAGGCCGAACGACTTTTTGTTATTATATTTCATGCCGATCATGTGGGTTTTTCGGCATCAGCCGTGAGGTCAACGGGGATCGCTGAAACACGATGAGCAGGCATTCAACTGTAGCTAGCTTGTCCACCAGTGGATGGTTTAGTTTCACCTGATTTCCGTTGTTATTGAACCTTCTCTAATTAATGGCGGATCCTCGCTGTTACCGAAATAGACTCGTCTGCATACCAGTTTGGTTTTGGCGAGAGGAGTGGTTCCAGCAACCCTAATGAGCAGTGTATTACATTTATAAAATAAATGTGGCAGCTACAACCACTGTACGACAAGCACGCGGTTCTTACAGCTGGTAATGATGGTGATCTATATGTATCGCACAACTACTTCAGGGCCCCTCGGGGCTGCAAACCAAAAACTACTAATCTGAAACTCCTCGAAAAACGAGACACTTCCCGCGAAAGCTCGCACTAGCGCTTCCCATCGACCGGGACCTAACTCCTTTCGATAGAGGCAACACTGGAAAAATCTAGAGACAATTTAGTCCATGACTGTTTTCGGAAATACTACCGTGGTCTGTCCATAAGGGTGCATGTTTGAAGTGTGACAGTACAATCAACTAGGCACACATCATATTCTGTGAGTAAAAACTTGCGAACAGAATGTGAAATATTTCAGAGTGAACTATTCACAGGAGTTCAAGTATTGTGAACGTACGTAAAGTTTCATAGCAAATAACCCTTTTTTGCTAGAGATGGACTTCGGCGAATCTATCCCACACTACTGAAATGAATCAGCCAAAAAGCCCCAAGCACAACTACTGATCCGAAACAACTTTCGTAATTGGTTTACTTTAATAAATGAATTCTACTGATCGGTTTATTCCTAAGTGACATCGTTCTGTCTCCTTTCAACAGGTTCTATGTTCTCCATTTGATGAATTGCCTTAAGTTATCTTGTTGAAAACTGCAAGTATCAATTCAGTACCATTTTTAACAGAGAGTCACCAAAGACTAACTCAGACAAAGTCATTTGCGCATCTACGACAATGCGTTACCTGAAGACAGCGATTTGTAGTTCCAGATGGCGGTCCCTTTATATATATATATATATATATATATATATATATAATGTGTGGGACCGCTTGTTGGGCAACTTCTTTAAGTTCATGTAAACTATTTATACCTACGCTTCACTTTGTGAAAAGGAGGCAAATATTGCGTTGATGGAATTGACTGCTCCCAAAAACGCGGCTTCCAATCAAGCTCTGGACAAGATGCGTACCGAACGGGACCAACTTCAAATGCAACAAAGACAATTGGTATGTGCACTGTGCCTCCATTATGAGAGCTAGGGGTCACATTGTTTGCTCGTCGAACAGAATACACCCACTGAGTTTTATGTTGTTTGTAGACTTGGGCGAAGAATGGGGCTTCTGTCTAATGGGCATGTCTTAAACCCATTGGAAAGTGTTCTGTCCAAATTGGGTGAACGACATACTGTTGTATCAAGTTGGCACTTGCTGCTGGGGATTTTCTCCGGGTCCCCCCTCTTATCCATCGACCAGTTTTAAGTTGTGTAGGTGAATAAACCACGCAGTAGTTGAGTCTTTTCTGATTCATGTTACCATTAGTCAATACGTGGTACACACTTGCCCAACTCAGAGTTGCGTAAACAGAGAGGTGGCCAACCCTTGACTTGGCAGAGGAGTATGAAGGAGATCACAAGACGCTTGGATGCGGTCGGTGCTATTCGCTTTCCAGGATGGGGACCGCGTGATCCTCACCGTGCCTGGTTGGAGACACTACAAGATATGGCTGCCAACCGATGTCAGTAGCGTTCTTGTTGCCAGTTTCTATCCAGATTGCCTGAGTGGATGTCTGGAGGTGTAGGCACCTCGGAATGATTGTGTTAAGCTAGCACTAAGTCCCTCCCCCATCCACCTTTACCCTTTTCTTTACAATAAGGCTTTCACATAAATCATAGTTGTACGGCAGTGAAGCATCGGTGTTGAACACTGATGTCATGCTGTCGATGATGATGACGACACACTTGTACAGAATTGTTACGTAGCAGAATCGGATGTGGTGTCTCGTGCTCAGAAAAATAAAATTGGCGCGCAAACACTCGCAAGCCTGCTACTAGAAATCGGCCGGCCTAATTATGATGAAATGCGGCGTGAAATACACTGTTGACTCGAAATATCTATTTTTATGTAGCCGCTACAAGCAAACCGAACCAGGTAAATACAAACGAGGACTCCAATCGCATGGGTGCGACATTCCTTAAGAATAATCCTGACGCCTGCAGTTTTTTCCGGCATTCCATCTTATTTTTTCGATTATGTTTGACTGGTTGATGCCTAGATTGTTGGATGTTGTCAATGAGACAATCCATGAAATCGACCTAATTTGCTATATATATAGGGTTGCATCCAGGGCTAACCTAACTGCTGGACTAGTCATTGGCCATAGTGCAAAGTCAAATTCTTACGGTAAGATTTCTTAGCAGAGTTCTACTCTTGCGTTCACAAGGGAGCATGTATGTGTGGAGTATTTGCGTAGAAGAGTTGCCCTTTGCAATCCCAGTCTGCATTACCCTTGTACTATGCCACTGACCTATGTTTATCAACTTGGTTCACAACTGACCAAAAGTACTAGCGATCTGCATTATCCGAATTGGTCGAAGGACGTAGAACAAACACTGCTTCGACATACCGAGGACCGAGGAGGACCGGTTTCCTCCTAAATTGAAGCATCCAACTCCAAGGAACAGGGTTAGATATCCTCCCCAACTACACACCTTTCTCGATATATTTCATTTTGTGGCTCAAAATGACCTGCTTGCAGACCTCCCACATTTTTAAAATGTTATTTCAGGCGAATACGCGGGCTATGTTAGAGGAGGAAAAGAAGTCGAGGAAATGATCCAATCGAGGAACGGCATCTACCGAAACTTTAACCTGAAAAAGAAAACATCCACACAGGATTCAAACTGTCACAACTGAGACGAAATTCGAAATCACAATGCTTACGTTAGTTATATCTCTTATCTTAGATAGCTGGTAGTAGAGTAACAAAATTTCCCCTTCCAGTTTACGGATTTTCCAGGCTTCGTATTTTATATCCCCTGAAAACTCAGCTCTCTCTCTCCCTCTCTTTCTGGACTATGTGAGACAGTTAGTCAGGAGACAACCATTGAACCATTGAACAATTGCGCAATTTCCTGTACATACTTTGGAAGCAAAAAACAGTATATCTTTTATTGTCACTGTTATATTCGTAAGCTGCCTTCAATTCACAGTCAGCTGAAAGTCTATTTTCACTTTATCCCAATTTGGTTTTGTTCCGCAATAAAACACTGTTTTTGATTATATATTTACCATATCATGCGCTTAACACACAATATTACCCAATAGATACTTATGTGACTTTCTTCTGGCTATGTATAATATAATACTCGGTTATATGTCGCGCAGCTTGCTTCCTATCTCCTTACTGGCGCCTTGTGTTGCGCATTAAGTGATTTCCTGGTTGGTTGAGTTGTTGATGTTGTGTGAAAGAAACCCACTTTCGCTCGCCTATCTAATCGAGAGTGTTTCAGCACGAGAATCCAGGTGGATGTTGATAATGTGAACTATGGTGGTTCATGCCGGGTTTTTTTAAGTCCGTTTATGCAGCCAGGACAGCCATTATGGTTCCATATTGATGCTACATCATTGAACCTATCGATCCATACTGACCTATCCAAACTTCGGCAAAGTATTGGCATGTGAGCTGCATTCGGTGGTGATAGTATAATTCGGGAAACAGTATGTTAATTGTGCAAAGCCCTTTCTCGCCCCAACCTGTTCGCCATCTGGGGGAACCACTACGAATTGCGCGCGTTGACGCCCTTCTTGCTACTACTGATGGGGATGAACATGATAGGGAAGTGTATAGGCAGGACGAAGGTGAGACGAGTTTAGAATGTAATGAGACACCAATATGGTCCAATGACATTGCCACTTTACGTAACAGTTTGGTTAGCGTAGTGTCTCGTAAAGTACTAGACTTTATCACCTAACGTTTTGAGTAAACTTTGCTTGCAGCGAGACAATGAAAATCACTTAGACAACGAAACGCGTGACATCTGGTGACCGAACAGTTGCTTATTAAGGTTTTCTTCTACGCTCCACCATCTTTTCGGTGGCAAATGTACCTTTCACAGTTGCCGCAGTTCAACCATGATGTATGCACTGTGGACAAAAGTGAAGACAAAATCGAAGCACAACTTTTATTTAGTGTTGCATGAAAGCGGTACATGTTTACCGCTGCAAAACAGGAATTTTAGTCCTCCATACAAATTGATGATCAAAATGGTCGAGCAGTTAAATATTACCTTGCGAATCTGAATCGAATTGAAATGATCGGAAGCTACAGCGGTGTAAAAATCAACGATGACATGATATTCTGTTGACCATAGCTGAGTAGAATCAAAAATATTATTCATCAACACTGTCACAAAATGGAAGTCAGATATAAGAATTCAAATCGATCTATTATGCCTTCGCACACCCATCGCATGAAATGTACAAACATCTTTTTCAGATAATTTGGTCTATGAGCGATTAGTGAGTTTCAGATATATCTGAATGATCGTCTTGTTCCCCACCGATGCTATCTAATCCAACTTCTTCGTAGTCTTTCTCCAACGCTGCTATATCCTCCCGGGCTTCGCTAAACTCTCCTTCTTCCATTCCTTCACCGACATACCAGTGAACGAAGGCACGCTTGGCGAACATCAAATCGAACTTTTGATCTAACCTCTTCCAAGCTTCCGCAATTGCAGTTGTGTTGCTTAGCATACACAAGGCACGAGGTACTTTTGCCAAGTCCCCTCCAGGTACAACTGATGGTGGTTGTTGGTTCAGACCTACTTTGAAGCCGGTAGGACACCAGTCTACAAAATGAACGGAAGTTCGAGTCTTTATCTTATTAATGGCAGCATTGACTTCCTTGGGAATAACATCTCCGCGGTAGAGTAAGCAACATGCCATATATTTTCCCCGGCGTGGATCACATTTGACCATTTGGTTCGAAGGATCTAGACAAGCACTTGTGATCTCCGCGACTGAGAGCTGTTCGTGTCTCGCCTTTTCAGCAGAGATTACTGGAGCGTAAGCAGTCAAGGGAAAGTGAACCCGTGGATACGGGACTAAGTTGGTCTGAAATTCCGTTAGATCCACGTTTAGGGCACCTTTGAAACGTAAGGATGCGGTAATGGAACTCACAACCTGTCCTATAAGTCTGTTTAGGTTTCTATACGACGGACGCTCGATCGCCAAATTTCTGTTGCATATCTCATAAATGGCTTCATTGTCAACCATAAATGTGCAATCAGAATGCTCCAATGTCGTATGAGTTGTCAGAATGGTATTGTACGGTTCAACGACTGCCGATGAAATATGTGGCGCTGGGTAAACGGCGAATTCCAGTTTCGTCTTTTTACCATATTCGTTCGACAAACGTTCCATCAGCAGCGACGTAAAGCCGGAACCGGTTCCACCACCGAAGGAGTGAAACATTAGAAACCCCTGAAAACCCGAGCACTGATCGGTCATTTTACGGATCCGGTCGAGAACTTTTTCAATCAGGTCCTTACCAATCGTGTAAAATCCACGGGCATAGTTATTTGCCGCATCTTCCTTACCACTAATGATTTGCTCAGGATGAAACAGGTGGCGATAGACACCGGTCCGAATCTCGTCCACCACCGTTGATTCCAAATCGACAAAAATCGCGCGAGGAACGTGTCTTTCGCTACCAACTTCACTGAAGAACGTCGCAAACGAGCTACGATCATCTTCCGGTGAGGATTCCGATATGATTGCGGTGCCATCGGGTTGAATCCCATGCTCCAAACAGTACAGTTCCCAACAGGCGTTTCCAATCTGTGTTCCTGCTTGACCGATGTGGACACTGATGCACTCGCGCTTGAGGAGTATAGATGATTATTCGGAAATACAGATCAACTTACCATTTCACGCTTGCTTGGAACCAATTATAATGATCGGTCGAAGCAGTGCACTTTTTAAACACATCTGTGTAGTCAAATGTGACCAACCACTAGGTCGTACAAAGCGAATGCGTACTGATTGGTCGTTGACCAGTCGGAGCACACCCTGTGTCCACAGTATGCCACTGCATTCTGGTGATAATGCACGAGGCTACCCGTCCATGTTGTGTAGCTCAACACTTTTCTTCCATTGCCAATTCAAAGATCTGATGCGTTAATGGTAGCCCCTTTGGACTTCAAACACCTTGTACTAGCCAGAATGATGCAAGATAAGCAGAACACTGAAAATTTCTCAGTTGATTTAGGCTTTACGAGAAAAATTTGGCATCACAAATCTTCCCCATTGATGAGAATGGGTGTATCGTATCATGACAAACTTCAAGGGCTCTACATCTGGTTGCTAAAAGGTTTTGAATATTTCCACCTGGCATTTATATCCAAAAGACAAGTTGTACTGAATTCCATGTATCTTAAGTACTCTATGCTCGTGCTGAATAAGGAATGCACGCCCTTTGACCACCGTAGTTCGGCCGAGAAATCTCAAAACCTATTGAGCTCACTTCACATCTCGACTGTCTGGACAATTTTCTTATTATATTAGTTTTGTATTCCTTTCATTTGCATACTGTGATTGTTAGTGTGCGGCCATTCGATACCCAGAAATTTGGCATCGTCCTCTTACCCACTTATGTGGCATGCAATGCTCTATTAAGCTTTCCTCGTTTTCGTCCTTTTCGCTCGTTTAAAAACAGCCACATTCAAAGCATTTATACGCCCAATGCAGTGATTCACTGAAATCGTGTCCAGCCTTAACTTCGGTCTCTGAAAATAAAAAAAAACTCATGTGGAAATTTACGAAGGACCATTGAGGCCGGTCCATATTATGGATGAAAGTTGAGAAGTTTTAATCACTTTTCATAAATTGTTTATTTTCTGCATAAATTCTGTCATTTTTTGCACAAAATCTCCATCTAACTGTCGAAAAAAATTAGTTGAAGGTTATGACGTTTTTTAAGGGTTTTGTGATGTGTTTGAAGAATCGGCGACAGAAACCTAAATGTCTTTGGGGTGTGACATTGTCTCCAGGATACTCACCTTCTGGTCAATCGTCAGACGCTCGTTTATTCTGTGCGGTTAAGCTACCCTCCTGACCGGAATTAGGACATTCAAGGACAGGCTAAGCAGCATTGGATGCATTTATGGTCAGCCCTGTTCTGAATCTCCCATCAAACCAGCCTCATTATCGAGGCAAAAGACCTGTTGTAAACACTGTAACCTTTCTAAGTTTTGTATTGAGGAGCCCACTAAGCTGACGGTGTATACATCGGTTGTGCGTACGCACTACTACGCTCCACAATAACTCACTGATGATGTCACCATGATTGGTGATGAAACGTTTGCAATCAAATTGCCCAGCTCAGCGAACAAGCCAACGACTACCAGTTACCACTATAAAAGTGCAAGATTGGCTAGAAAATATATCAACTTAAGCGCTTTTCGGCAATAAATCCGTCAATTTCTTACCAGAATCCCTGGCGTCTGTGATTATTTTCACAGTAAATTCTTACCTACCTTAGTCATCATCATCATTATCATCGACAGCGTGACATCAGTGTTCAACACCGATGCTTCACTGCCGTGGTGGCTTCATTTTATTGAGACGAGCACGAACCATGTTGAACATGTAACAATTCGTTACAACGTATGTACACGCTATCTAGGACAAAAGCCACCGCAAACGCCATCTGCCTTGGGCTTGCCGATAGCCTAAAACTGTGTGGTCAGTTTGGCCTCAGCTGGGTTGTCCTGACCCAGGCAGGATATAGCGTCACCCATCCTTCAATCACGGAATCCAAATCACGTTGACACATTTTGACTGGCTGCTCGAGTGAATGCCACACTCATCACGTGGATTACTTCCTCTCTGAGCTACTTACAATTTGCTAGTAGTGAAATAAAACTCGGGAATTTTCCATTTCTATTTCACTGTCATTGAGGTTGCTCGAAAGCCTAAGGGCGCTGTAAAGCGGTTTCTTCTTTCTTCGAAAGCATCTCACGAAACTCTAAGAGGTTTCGTGCTTGATGGCATCCTATATAAAAATCTGTCTATTGTACTCACCCATGGTTGTGAACAGATAATCAGACGGATAATCTCAAGCGACGTATGTCGAATTGATTGATCTGGTTTATTCACCTAACGAGAGATGTGGCAGCTCGTCGACTTATTTCCAAGAGAGTCCAAGTACATCACTGCTTAGGTTTGACTGAGCAATACGATGCAAGGGTTAATTCAAAAAAGCGAAGATAAACTGCCTTCGATCTAGCTTGCGGTCAGTTGAAGTCATTTTGACTGCCATCCGCTCAGTACCTAGAGAATGAATACACGCTGGTCAGTTTTGCTGGTGTGTGTATACAGTGTCCTCTTGTACTCTACCACGGATGGATTTATGCGCATGTAAGTTTACCCGCGTCTTGTTCGCACGTCAGACGGAAGGAGGATGCAAATATCAAGGGCAAGCGCAAAACAGCCGAGGTGGTATGAGGGATACCGATTTCATTCTTTGGAAAGTAGGCAGTTTCATTGACCACACTAACTGACGCTATAGAGGCGTTGGTTGACAGCGAGGACAAGCATGGGCTATCCCTTACGTAGCACGCAACTATACGGAATGATAGGGTCCGAATAGGATTTCGCTAGTTTTCAGCCGAATTCGCTCCTTAGTAGATGCGTCATGCTTAGAAACTTATCAGTCATCTTACTCATTGGATCATGGGTTAGCGTGCGACAGGGAGTACAGTTTGACCGGGTTCGTGGGCTATACCGGTTTTTAGGAGTACCTTATTGGGACGATCTCTGTGTTTGCGTTTCCTCACATCCCGGATTTGGGGCTAGAAGCCGAAAAACCTTACTGGCATATCTACCAGCACTCTACAGTTCAATGAAAAGTGCAACAAACACTTCGATCGTCCACTGGAGTTGATTTACCCAGTCTGTTATTTCTTTTTTATTAGTGCAAGTTTCGTTTTGATACTATTAGCCTAAATGTCATTCAAATCTAACGTGCGATTGTAAACTAACGATGGTTTCTATATCCGTGTCACGTGCAAAGTGTGAGCTGTAACACTTGTACGAAAAGGGCAAAATATTTCACAATTTGAAGGCATTCTGGTAAAATCAAATGTCTGGTGTCGACCGGGCAATGCCGACATGGAAAGAAAGAATATTTCAAGAACTAATCAGATATCACATGCTATTGAAAACTTGAACCACCATTGTACTCTCATTTGAAAAGTTTAGACATGAGAAATAGAAGGAAGCACTCACTGACTAAATTCGTCCACGTCAGGTTGTTTGGAACAACATAAGATGAGGGATAGGAGACGTGGTGGGACTTCTCGTGAATGATGTAACATGTACCGGTAACAAGCTATTTGCGCACATACTTCCAAGTCATCTGTCAGGGTTTGTTTAAAAGCAAAGCTCATGCTTTCATGCACTCACTTCCTACGCTTCGCAGAATCCTTTCTCAGCAGAAAAGTTATGCGTTAAACTTAATCCGAAAGAGACAGGCAAACAGTGCAGAAAGAATGAGAATTCTTTCATACGACCGCCAAAAAACTCGGTGAAAAAGATCTTGTGGTGCGTTACACCATTTTACTTCCTAGGATCATTCTTTCAAGGTCGCAAATTCTGACAGTAAGTTTACCTACCTTGGATAGAAGAAGTAGTTACATTTCAAAGTGGAAGGTTAACTCTACCTATATTACTCAAAACTCTAATGGAAAGATTTAGCATATCCTCAGAAGTCACCCCTTTCGCCTGATCTGTGTGTGAGATGTAGGACAGACATGGAAGTACGATTTAGTGTACGGACCAACAAGTGCTCCACTAAATTGCTGCTCCTATGTGAAAGTGGCGCGGCACGTTGAAGGCCATTAAAGGATATATTTTCATTGTTTTCACCTGTCTGCATTTTGTCCTTTACCTTTTTGAGTTACAACGCTTCTCAACATTTTGGACAATTGTGCTTTGGACAAAAGTGCTTATGTTTGCGATTTTTTAAACAATAGAGCTTTCAGAAATTGTTTCATCGGAGGACGGAAACCAATTAGAACTGGGCTGATGACGGGAGCGTCAATCGACCTAATTTTTGTACCGCATGCACTGTTTACTTGAAAAATGTGGAAAAAAGCTGTGAGAATTGTGTTTGGTCTGTATCTACCGTGAACGGTCCTTGCAACGAGGTAACATCTTTTCAATGCTGTGATAAATAGCGATGGTACAAAATATGAAATTACGTAGAAATACCGGTAAAAGACTCTTTCAGACGCAAGACCCGCAACATTTGGTCTGAATTCCCTCCACTAGCTGTTAGACGGAACGTTACCTACCAGACACCCACCATAAAGCAACTTGGCATGAAGTGAACCTTGGAGCTCAAAGATTTAGCCGCAACCTCGTTTTGAGCATACTGCTGTGGAGTACACTCTATGCTAATACAGGGAAAATCGTCGAAGTTTCACCTCTTACACCGCTTACACTTGCTTTTGATTTTGAGCATGGGATCGCATGTAGTGTATGGCGAGTATGTCTCAGTTTGTAAACAGTCATCACTCAGATTGTTTGTGGATTAACGTCCACTATGAGGGCCAAATATGGTCGAAAACGTTACATAGGTGCCACAGAATGCTTTGTTGTGCTTACTTTGTCTTCTATGTGTCATCTGAAACAACCCCAAGCAGGTATCTTACTTCTCAAGTGATCTTTCCCAGCTAATAATGGACCAGTGAGCCTAACAGGTTTCTACACTCCCCTCCCCCATGAAAAAATCTGGTTAGTCTTTGAAAGAATACGTCGCTATACCCTTCAGGTTGTGTTTAGGGCGTGAAACATATCATGGTGGAGAACGGTTGAAAGTTTTCCGATTTACCCTCCATAATCGTGTTTCGTACGGTTATTCTTACAGTGCCGAAACACCAAAATTTTGCTATCAGTGTTCCTACAGCAGCAAAATCCCATTGGTTACATGCGATTTGCCCTGTCCATCCTATTATCTGCTAAATCGATGCACAATGAGAGTAAAAAGCAAGAGAAATTCACTATGCCTTGCATGAGATCTAAGCTATTACCGATACTGCGTCTTTATTGTGGAACGGGTGGAAATGCTATTGAAGCGAGAGCGCCACAGCAACTTTGAACCCATAGAAGAAGACGAATATTGTATAGACAGGAATATTAAGTATAACAGGATTGACATCAGTGACGATGATCATATTAGCATCCGAAATAACAAAAAATGCCCGGTTTATTCCATGGTTCTGGTCGATCGCAATCTCTTCATTTGTTTATTCACTTTATTCACTTAGATAAATCCCGCAGACAAGACTGAACACTGAAAACCTGGATATATGTTTTTTCCAAAACTTTTACCTTCAAAGTGAATCTCCAAATCAAGAGAAACATTTAGCAAATATAAGGCTATCGATGAGTGGTGGCACACGAAATATTCATCGCTGAACTAGGCTCACCCAAAAATTTCACACAGTCTTATTGTGTGATTCCAAAGCTGCTCCAGCTCTGAAAACATTCACCCAAAAATCTTCAAAGACGATCATTTTGCTCATGATCTCTCACCATACCTGCTGTCCTCCATACGAGCTTGTAGTGTCTGTAATCCGTTGTCACATTTACCATTCTTCCTGAACTTAAACCACACTTTGTAACTGTCGTTCACATTGTATCATGACGTTTGTTTTAATGTTACGAATACACAATTTTCCGGCGCGACCTGCTGACTTCTTGCTGGACGACTGTATTTACGCCCGTTGAACTGCTTGTTGACCGTTGAACCGGTGGGACTAAATCTCTGTGTTTGTGTCAACTGTTGAACGTCACAATAAATCCCTGTGACAATTTTTTAGCCGTGAATAATTTTCCTACCGTGGAATATATCACTCACACGGAACCATCCGCAGGAAATCTCGACGGGTGAATATTTTCCTTTCACAGCCAGTTACTGCATTTGGATCGGTGTAGTGGACTATTGGACCTACGCATTCTTCAGTTCCCATTTGACTACTCATTCCTTTCCTATTGTGATTTTGTGATTTTTTATTGGTTACTTTTGCTTGTTAATTTATCCGAACACGCTGATTAGGTCCTAGTCCGCTACAAGCTCTCCTGAATAAGTGAAAAGCAGGCATCATTTAATCCAATTAAAGTTAAAGAGATCGACGAGGCATATTTTGTGATCTATCTGGGAGTATTCCCGGTATCACTTTCAGGTCGTTGATGAAGTATGATAAAAATCCGTTCAACGTTTTTTCCTTTCTAATTGACTCCACATTGACTCGGCTCCGTTTTGACGTTGCGCCCCCAGTGAAGTACAGCGTTTTCATGCACCCCATTCTCATTTGACCTCTATCCTCAAGGAATGCTCCAAAGTTTGTTCACTAAACGCTTGAATATGATGAACATGATTGATGTTGTATTCATTGCTCTATTCATTATTCTCTTGTTTTAATATTTCAAGTGCTGTACACACACTTCAGTTCAAATACCTTCGTGCCACTGGTTATGCTGTGCTGAATTCTGGATTTCTAGTTCGTTGGCCATACCAATATACGTGGTGAATTTAAATGCTACGTCCAAAACTGACAGATATACGCATCTTTATCTTGCCAAATGTAAGCCTTCATTTATACTTGTATCTTCATTTACGTGATGGCCACACCTGTGGAACACTGCAGCCTCGAGTGTTGGCCCCCAATTATTAGCAATGGGCTTAATGACAATCTTGGTCTTTATTGTTCTTCCCTCTCCCCTTCCCTTACAAAGTAGTGAAGCCATTCTGTGTGCAAACGATCTGAAGTTGCGGTCCAACAAGCCTTCTGAACTCCGAGCGGCTATGGGTTTGTGCATAACGGGGGTTTATCCAACCTCATTCCATCGGCCCTCGAGAGGCTTCACAAATGTTCATTTTGATCCCTCACTTCCTGTTATGTCTACTGTTAATCAGATTGAATTCAAATTTATCTCAAGAGCTAGCTAACATAAGGTTGTAAAAGTTCGGATATTTCTCCATAAGGAAGACTGTACAACTGGTTATTCTCCTTAAGAGAGGCTCCTGTAGTTCATACACGCCTAGTATTGCTGCACATAACCTCACATGTGTATGCGTATTGCCGTAATATAGTAGAGAAAAGAATTATGCGGACGAAAAGCAAGGTATACGTTTATATTTTCTTGACATCACGTTCCTCAGAGGTTTTTGAAGGTCCCTAGACATTCCGCTAATGGCTCCATTATTGCTGGTGTTCTTCAGATAGATGTGGACCCCGAGGTCTCATCAACCTTCTGTTGAACCCGAACAGGAACAAAAAAATTGTTTATAGAATTCTCGGTAATGCCGCGAAAAACGCCAGCTCCCTGCGTAAATTTCTATTTCCTTGTGAAGTGATACATACCACACCGTTTCTCCCAGATGCCACCAACAATATCGTTGCCATGTTTAACTTTCAAACCCATCCACTCTAAGCATGATGACAGGTTGTCCACCCTTCGGCATTATATCACAATTCGTGGCCACAGCTTAGAGCTGCTCTAAGGCGGGTGGAATAACAAGTAGTGCGCACTCTTCTCCAATGTATCGGTTCAATAACTCTATGAAGAAACCAGTCATGCTTCCCTGGTTAACACACATTCTTCTTCAGTCTGAAGCCTAAATTGCCAAACATGAATAAGCAAAGCTCTCCAAATAAGCCAGCTCCCCCTAGCTTCAACAACCTTTTACACTGGCGCGAGCGTTTTGTTACGCAGTCGTCATATTGGTTGCCGATGAGGATTTCAACTTACCACGTACCCTCCACAACCATTTGGCAGACCTTCGCCCCGTATCCTATTTAGAGACTTCTGGTAGTAAGTTCAATGTCAACAGCATACCAAAAACAGCTTTCACTCCCCATATTTCTATTCTGGCTAAAATCTGCTTATCTTGTATCCTGGGAGCCAATTCTGGAAGATGGATGGTAATCATCATTCTACGACAGCGTTCATTAATCTGGCTGGTTTCGCATATCCGAAGGCGCCTGCTCCACAGGCTAAACCCCTCTTTTGAAGTTCAACGCTGCCGCGATTTCCGGGGACAATTTGCAAATAGTCTTAACCTTCACACTTTTTTATTAAAGTGGTAACCGTGCTCGATTACCGGATCGACTCTCTCACTGACCAAATGGAGGGGAACAAACGTGGTGATGAAATCCGTGGTTGCGTTTCAGAAAAACTTTGTATGAAAGTCTGGGTCTTTCATGGGTCAATCAATACATAAATCCGGAAAATTTGTCGGGTATCAAGCCCACAACGTCGGATAAACGTTGAAGTTTCAGCCAGGGATTATCAGATCAAACCGTCTTGCAGACCATTGCAGTTAATTTGCCAAAGACACTAGTGATTTAACAATGAATCGCGATGTGATGCCACTCATTTAACATAGAGCATACTCTGAATGCAAAATTTGCAGTACCCACCAGTGTGATGGATTAAATCCGGCCCTTTTGAAGCGGCACTTCTAGTCAAGTCAGAGAAAGCAACACCTAAATAATCATATTTTACGTTTTTGCGTCCATCCGATATTGACCAACATCGATCACCTCTCCAAAACATATTTAAACTCAGCTTCCTCGTTTTTTGCCCGATGCTTAATGTTGTGTTGGGTTCTGCAAACTCTTGTTAGGGCTATATCCTTTTTCGTAGAAAGAAGAAGGAAATCAAGAGAAATCACCAGCATCCATCGTCTACCCTTTTAGATCTTCTGGGTTGAACAAGAGGCTTGCGGTTGTTGCTACGCCGGACCTCAAAACCAAAGTGGTCGAAAAAGGGCTTATTCAAAGGGTTACATTAATGTGGAACAGAAATAAATTCCTGTGAAATGAAATCGCTCACACCACTGTTTTACATTCAGTCAAGTGTTTCTCCGCTGCTACCGTGTTCAAGTTCATATCATTAGCAAACTTTCACTAGCTTGTGGTCTATAAATTCCTGCGGCTTATGAATATCTGCAAGATAAAATTGCCTTTGATAACGTATAGGAATTTAACTGATGCAGAAACGTGATGCAGTACAAACAATCGATCAGAGCGTTTGGCCTTTTTATGGAATTCAGCGGTCGACGGAGCCTGAGGTTCATTGAAGTATTCCGGGAGATATTTTCCTTCACCCGGCCATTGGTGTAAGAGTTCGATAACCCGGGTTTACTGCACTAACAGCTCCGAGGCAGGGCCTCAGTTGAATGTTGACACTTGAATCTGAGGCCAAACATAAGGAGTCTTGCTTGTACTAAACCACAACCTGTTTGTTTCAGCCAGGACCTGAAAAACAATAATCGCCTTTCATTCCAGGCTTCAACGCTATTTCTAATGTCAGTCGCACTCACAGTAAGTCCGATGAGGTGTGGAGGCTTCTTTTCCGTCACCGGACATCAGGTACTGAGGCAAATCGTGAAGAGCTGTTGTAGTTTTTTAATGTACCACATTGTCCTAACAGCTGGGTATTGGTGGGTGCTGGTCTCCATTGGAATTCCTCAAAGCATTGTTTTAGGACAGCTGCTGTTTTGATCTACTTCAACGACCTTCCGGACGTTCTTTCAAGTTCGTGTCTGCTTTTTACGGACGACTTGAAATCCTGGATTTTAACTGCTAGCGCCCCCCAAACGGATGCAAACGCCTCAAAGCAGTAGTCGTCGGACTAGCGCCTTCTTTTGGATTACGAAAAGTGCGTCCATATCTTATTGGGAAGAGACTAAGCAAACGCATTTGTCATTCATGTTGAGGATGGTCCAGAAGACATCATTCGGATTGATGCCACAATGGATTGGGGTATCTGGTCCTCTTTAAACAGGTATTTCTAAACAAACCATGAGAAATCTACTAAAAAGGCATTCGATGTTTCTATTAGTGATTCGGCAAGCCCTCCCCCGTATTATTCGTATGGACATCCAGACAATTTGGGGGCCCGCATCAGACCAATTTGTCTGCTCAGAACACAAGAAAAACGTAACACTCACTGAGCTTGTCCGACGAGCTGATGCAAAAATGATCGCCAGCCTTAAACCCTCTTTTTATGCCCTGTTTGGACAGGGTTTGACCAGCAGTTAATTCATCGTTGACATTCTGTAGGGACATGGTAGGGAGACTTTCAGGCTAAGAACGCACAGGTTTACTTGGCAAACGTTTTCTCATTTCTGGTGGTTAGTCAGTAGAACAGCTATCTTGCAACGGCTGTTCACGCTTCTCCTAGTACCTAGTTCAAAGCACGCATTTTTATGCGCATTCTCTCGCTGGCAAGCTTACTCCTGCCGCTGAGAAATTAAGGACCTGTGCTACACCTTTTTCATTTGCGCCTTTCGTCGGAATGGCAGTTGTTGAACGGCAACAACAAAGCCTACCCGGGAAACTTGGGCGAAAGCCTTAATCTGTGCAGCAATCTGTAAATCCGTGAAGTCCGTGGTGAACCACCCTACCGCGTTTGTTAGGACAATGCAGGGTATTTAAATCTGTACTAAGGGACCGCGGCTCCGTCAGCTTTTGATTTTTAGTGACGGAGGAGAAGCGTGTGAATTTGATCGGACTTATTGCGAGTACGGCTGACACTCGAATTAGCGTTGAAGCTGTCTCGGTTATGAGGAGCGACATGAAATG